GAAATGTGTAAAGTAGATTTAAATTTAATATAGATAATTTACGATATAAATAGCTAACAATAGTATTTAGTAAAAATGAATTGAGTTAGTACCGTACTATTTTTACGTTAGCAAGCTATTATTTCTAAGGGACCTGTTTATAACAATAGTAGTAAATTGCAAAGATCTGAGGGGCATTGACATTGCGCCCGTCACTCTGAGACATAAGTTAACAAGTCACATGTACCTGTAATTTCACCAGCACCTTTATCCTTCAAAATCAGAACACAGTAATGCTCATATTACTGTTTGGCAGTAGAAATATGTAAGGTGACAGTACGAACTGGACGAACTCTTTCTCATCTCACTCTCATTCGGTTATTTGCACAAAAGTTTTCAGTAGCTTTGTAAATAACGCAACAAAATTCATATTTTGAATAAGCTCTTCAATTTACTTTTTTGGAGGTTTTATTACTACCGGTCTAAAATCCGATTTTATCTTCTAAAACTTATGGCGTTATTGCGCACAATCAGCTTTACACTATGAAATATGGGCCATTTTTATCAGAAGAGCATAGAGTTAAATTGGAAGCTTGGGTGTTAGTAGAGAGCGTGCGGTTGGCTACACAACTCCAACTAAGCGGCTAGGTAAAAATAAATTTATTTCCACACAACTGAATCTAACTCCATACTCGTACAATGTAAACAAATGTAAATGAAGCAAGGATAATATTTAAAAGTAACTTTCTGCATACTTTTCTATATGTTATAGCATAATAACGAAATATATATCAAATTTCAAACTAGTCACTCTTTCACTGTTAAATATTGATTTGGCAGTGGAGGAGTGATTTGGTTGTGGATTAGTAAATTGGTAGGTAACTAAATTCATAAAAAAGGTGTAGCTGCAGTGTTTCATATAGTCAATAATTAAGTATGTAGCAATATCTTATGGTTAATAATTTTCCAATGTTCTTAGTATAAACGGTAAATTTTTGTTTGCTTTTTTAAGTAATATCGTGCCATCTCATCCTTCAAAATGGTTCCAACTGAAAACCAGCGTTACAGCAATTGAGCTGTGACATATGCTGAGTTTGGATCCATTTCAGCTCGTAACTGTAACTCTTTGTATACTGGTAATGTGTGATGCTGGCTGAATAAACGTTTCTTTCTTTCTTTCTTTCTTTCTTTCTTTCAATATCTTCACTCTCCAATAACATTCGTTCTACATTAATTAAGGAAGATTCAGTTTCATTTTTTAATTTATTTTAGAATTTAGAATAGGGGTACAATTTTCTTACATATACATATACATAGTCCTACAAAACTGTGTAGGTATACAGATTGACTGCAGGATTATAATAAATAGACATCTCAAAATTGTTTACATTTGGTGAAGTACCTAAATAAACGGACTATAATAAATTGAACAAAAACTTTTAAAGTGACACTTAGTGTCGTTAAAAATTGTTAAATAAAATAATTACTAAATATTTAACAAAAATTTGAGAAATAATAATTTTCAAATAATTTTTTAATTTATATTTTTTTCAGTTTAATGTCTAAACTATTTATTTTAATGCACGCACTTATAGTTATATGTAGAATACAATTAATTATAAAATGCATTTACCAGTACTAATTACAAGAGACATTGTAATTCGTGGACTTTAATATAAGTAATACATTTGGTGTTGGTATGTATCTCAATAATATTAAATTTAGAAACCATAAAACATAGATCATAAGCGAACCTCATTTCATCCTTTACAAAGGATTTTAGTACAATAAAGAAAGGAATCTTTCCACGTGATTTCGTACCAAACGCTCAAAGTACCTCGATCGGCTATAGAAAGTTGATGTTTGAAAGGAATGCTGATATGTAAATTGTCATGTAGTTGAATGAACTTATTATTCTGATTCATTATGTAACAAATTTTCTAAAAGGTTCTGTTTCTGATTTGACAGTATTGACTTACGTTTTTTTCCAGTATGTAGAAAAGAGTTCCTATGCCCATGAAACTTTGTTTTTGTGTCTGGAAGAGTAGTTTATATACATCGTTGACATAGCTACAGTGATATTTCCATATTATCACATTTACACATTTCAAGGCTCTTGACAAAGAGCCAATTGATGGCAATCAATTTGTGGAATTTTAGTTGAATTTTTAGCTTTTGTCTTTAAATAAAGAGAAACCCGTGGATTAGTACGTTTTCTGTATGCATTTTGAGTAGCACTAGAGCTTCTTGTGAAAGTGTTCGTCCAGGTAAGTACGACCACCTTACCTATTTCTGCCGCCAAGCAGAAATGTGAGTATTGCTGTGTTTCGGTTTTGGTACGTAGGGTACGGGTGCTGGTGAAATGACAGGCCAATGAGACTTCTTATATCTCAGGGAGGCAGGCGTAGTGGCAGTGTTCCTCAGATCTTTGCAATTAAAGCTCTGATAAGCACTGCAACTGCTATGAACAGGCGTGTCGCTTAGTACTAGCCACACGACTTGTTCGTCCTGTCATTTGGTATCATAAAATAAAATAAACTTTTCGTTCTCCTGACCAAAAACAGCTTATTTTTTGCAAGGAAATGTTTTTTTTTATATTGGAACCAATTAGAAAATCATTTGACAACCCAAAAACAAAATTTGTGTTACATGGACTTATGGAATAAGGATGTATTTTTTAGAATACAGTAGTGGCACGTAGGTGCGTTATCAGTTTTGTCTTGCAGTCGATCCGTACGTCTGTAAGTCAGCATGTAAACACAGATTCAACATTTGAAACTGCTTGGCAATGCTCAGCTCCCAATTGAAAGTTTTACTAAATCTTTCACAATTCTCAAATTGCCAATAAATTTCTTTTTCTACCGCCAAGCAGTAATAGCATTATTGCATTAGTTTGAAGTGTAAGGGTGCTGGTGAAATTACAAGCGTAATGGATTTGTCAACTTATGACTCAGTATGGGTGCAATAGCAGTGTCTCTCGGAGCTTTTCGATTTAGCTCTGAGTGGCACTGCAACTGCTATGGACAGGCATGTTGCTTACCACCAGGTGCATAACTTGTTCGTTCTGTCACTTGACATCATCTTGGCATCATAAAAAGCTATTTCTTCGAGGGCCTCGATTTTATCTATTAGATTCTATCTCTATTCAAAATCTATTCTCTATCTCTCTTTCTATTACAAATGTTTCTAAGTGTGTATTACATTTGCGGAAATACCGCAATCAATAATGGAACCCTCCGGTTTGTCCGAACACTAAATATAAACACGGATTAGTATTTAAATATTAATTTTCGGGAATTTGTAATTCATTATTAAGCTTCTGGGTCCCTGGATTCTTATTCATAATTACAAAATAGCGATGTCATTACCTATAAAATTTCTTCGATGGGTCGTTAATTGATAAATTTGAAATGAATTTTGGCCTTACAATAATAATCTAATTTTACTTATTACATTCTCTTAATAATTAAGTAAATAAAAACAAAAATTAATTTTGTCGTTAAGCCATATTGATTTATTTTGATTGTATTAGTCATGTCTGATTACTTTTATTGAATATCATGATGTTTTGATTGATTACTCTTTGTGTATGTTCGACCTTATCAATATTTTCTAATTTTTAGGAAAGTAAAATATCATATTTTTAGTCATACTTAACTCGAACTTTCTCTATCTTCGACAGGTATTCGACATCCATACTGCAATAGTACTAGAACCTACAGGCCCAATGATTCTGTACCACGTGGATTCCGACGAAGAGGGGCAACTTTACCAAATTAACTTCTGGGTTCACGCAGTCATTGTCAAGCTGCTTCCCTGTTGCATACTGACTGTAATCAGTTTGTGGCTCATTAAAGAGGTCTACAACGCCAATCAACATCAGAAGAAAATCAGGATTTATAATTCCTGTCCAGCGAGTAACAAAGCAGTTAAGCGCCAATGTAAAGCGGATAGAAGAACGAATAGAACAACAATGATGTTGGTGGCCGTACTTCTTTTGTTTCTGGTTACAGAACTCCCACAAGGAATTTTAGGTTTAATGAGCGGGCTGCTCGGAAAATGCTTTTTCAAGCGCTGCTACGATTTGTTCGGGGAATTAATGGATGCGCTGGCATTGCTGAATGGTGCGATCAATTTCGTGCTGTATTGTTCAATGTCGAGGCAATTCCGGATGACGTTTGGACAACTCATGTGGCGAGGTTACCTGTATCGGTGGCCTCCGCAAACCGCGTCCCACTCTGACGCACAGAATACGTAAGTAACACAGCAATCAATTTTTAAACCCCGACTTAACTTGAAGAAAATTACGTACGTACTTAACGATAAGTTAATTTGCAACACGAATTTGCACCTAAACTTAACAAAATTGTACGGAACTGTAATTGTAACGAAGGAGAGTTGTTTTGTCTAGCTTTTCAAAAATGCTGCTTAACATCTTATGGGTTGACCCAGATAAGTGAGTTGTTATCTCGATAATAATAAGGTTCAAAACATTGTTTCGTGGTAGCAACATAGTACACTAAATTGAAATCCCCCACATTGGAGTCTACTCGTCGTTCTCTGTCCGTCATCCGTCCGAAACAATTACTATGAAATAAGTAATACTCCAGGATGTGCGATCACTAATGAAACGCATATTCACTGTTCAACAGTCGCTTTATTACTGACTAGTTTGAGGGTGCGTCGAAACCAACTTATAATATACATCACTCCACCAAATCAAAAGAATGTTTTTTTATAATACTAAGTGACGGGACGAACAAGTCGTGTGTCTGGTGGTAAGCGTCACGCCTGTCCCTAACAGTTGCAGTGTCACTCAGACCTTTAAATCACAAAGGTCAGGGGCACTGCCACTGCGCCCGACACCCTGAGACATAAGTTGACAAGTCTCATGTGCCTGTAATTTCACCAGCACCCTTACCCTTCAAAACTGGAATGCAGTAATGTTCACATTACTGCTTGGCGGCAGAAATAGGTAAGATGGCAGTTGTTTCGTACGGATGCCGACGGGTGGACGGAGAACGGAAGAACATTGGTTCAGCGTTTACGTGACTTTAATTATTCTTAATTTAATTATGTCTAATAGTTTGACCTACCGTCTCTAAAGCAAACGCCGTGGCTTCGAATCCATGTTCGCACCTCTGCGTTTCTCGGAATTTATGTGCGAAATTTGATTCGAAATTTACCATAAGCTTTTTGATGAAGGAAAACGTCGTGATGAAACCTGCACGCCGAAAAAGGTTCACGATCCCTGAAAAACGTGTGAAGTCCCCAACCTGTAATGGGCCAGCGTGGCGGACTATGGCCTAAACTCTTTATCAATCGTGTACTAATAGCGATGTTCTTTTGTTTCAGAGCCAAATCGTCAGTTCCGTGAGGCAGGATTGTACAAGAGAAACATGCTACAGTATTGCAACAATTCTTGTAAAGATAGCTTCTATTTTAACTCTGATACAATTAATCACAAAAAAATGAAAATTTTAAACTAAGTGTGTTATATGTTTGTGGATAACGTCGTTATAGTTATAAGCCAGAAATTAAATGTATATTCGATAAATTTTAAATTACTTATATCGCAAAAATTAATATTCACTTAATATAATTTCGTGACAGACTTATATTTATTAATTTGTTTTAATAAAAATATAAGTAATAATTTAAAAAATATGTTTTGGCAAAATTTGTTGTTATAAGTAAACTTTATATGCCAAAATAATATAACAACTTTTTGGTATACCGTGTAAGCTTTAACATTATCTTAGTACACAGTACTAAAAAAACCGACCTGAATAGTTCGTGGAATTAGATATACATATTTGCCAAGTTTTATTGAAGTCGGATTCATCCCCTAGTTTGCCACCCTTGTGGTGGAATATTATCTTCAAATTTAAATGGTACCAATATTGAAATATTTTGATCGAAAAATCATATTACAAAATTGAAGACTACGTGTTAGATAAAGATGTATGGAAAGACGACATGGCTCCAGAATCCATACAAATTTGATTCAAAGTGTATTCCATGGCATTTAAGTTTATTTGAAAAGAGCAATCCCTAGAGTTTCTTGCTCGTTCTTCTCAGGGAAGTCAGCGTAGTGAACGAGCAGTAGCTTAAATGTGACGTTTTCAAGTGTAAATTTATTTTACCTATGGAATAAATAATCTTTGCCTTTGACTTTGATTTGAGGTACCATTTTTCCAACTAAAAATAATCATGAAAATCGATTTGCAAATGCCGGAGTAACCGCGTAACGTACACATAAAAAAATACAGTTCAATTGAGAATCTCCTTCTTTTGTTTCCAGTCTGTTAAACAAATTATATGATAACACGTTGCATTTAAATAAATTTGTTAAAAATTGTAAATAACATAATTATATAAAACGTGATGTTCTTTCTATCTCATTTATTAACACTACATATCGCACTGCTATTACAATGGTGTTGCAACTCAAAATACGTGAAATTCAAGATTATACCGTTTCTGAACGTAAAATTTGTTTCTCTACACGTCAATAAAATTGTCAGTAGAATATTGTAAGAAACCATGAAAATATATCTACTTAACCCAGAATGAGACAAACGTTTTGTGAGCTAGTTCTGGATAAAACAGTCCTTACTCAAAAATATGAAATTATTTTTACTTTTATTTTCAAATTACAAAATTAATAATTACATATTTATAATTAGCAAATAGAAGTTGTTTAGATGTCTAATAATCTTTCACAGGAATTATGTAATTAGTTTTTCAGCTATTCTGAATAAATTCACTTTTTGAGTTAATACACTATTGTATTAGCAGTGCGGTATGTGAAAGCCTGGAAGCTACCTACGGCTTTGTAACCCAGTTTGAGTTTGTCTGGGCACTGAACATGAATGAACTTAATATGACGAGTAACATCTCGTATAAACATATCGCACAATAAATAATGAAATGACGAAATTACGAAAGTCCAATTTGCCCCTTTGTTGCAATAAGGCCACATCTAGGGGTCTACTCCCACAAAATACTAATAATAATAACGCACACACTCAGAGACTTTTTGTTGAGGCTACGAATTTTGTGTCAATCATTCTTAGCTACTGGGAATGGAATGAGGAACTTGAAAAAAGTCAGTAAATTTTCTATTTATTCCCTGAAGCCAATTTCATACAGAGTGCGTAAAAAAAGTGTTAAATTAATTTTGTCAGAAAAAAAATTCTATTACTTTAACATCAAGAAAAAAATAAAGTTATAGTAATAATATTTTCATTTTGGCAAAAAAGTCATAGACTCGTATCTTATTTTTAAATATAGTTGAGCTCTAAAAGTGTTACTATGATACTCTGTATATGACTTGATAGATTGGAGTTCTTTTCTTCAGAATTTCACAAATAAGCGCAACTCCCTTGTGAACTTGCAACTTTGAAACAAAATAAAAACAAAAGTAATTCTACATCATGACCTTTTTTCCTCACTGGAAGTTGTTCTTTACTTTTTGTCTCGAACTAAATGTGTAAAATACTTAATGTGCCTGTGTGTAATGCTATATATAAATTATAAGGCCAGATTCCATTAATTAAAGTAAAAGCCATTTCCTGTTGCATGACCTTCGATTCACATAACAACGAGTAACCAAACAACAAAAGAAATTGGTTATTAGTTACGAAGCAAAGTTTATAAGCGCTACCTGAACAAATGCAGTTATACACAGAACTAGTTGCAAAATACTAACAACCTCGCAGGCCTGTATTACTAACATCATAAAGAACAACTTTTGTTCCAGATTTTACTTTCGTACAAAAATAAGGAATTTGAAAAGATGACTCTAAACGGTGAAAAAAAAAACGGTGCGGTAACAACAGCAGCGCTAGCGTAAATTAGATTCCTATGATAAATGCAAAACACACAAATCAGAGGTGGGGGTCGTCGGAGAGGACGCTTGCACGTTTGTACTTACTATCTTTTACTACCAAATACAGATCTAAAAAGTGTTAGATAGTACAAAAAAAACTTAAAAGTTTATTCTTTATAAATTTATTATGATTTCTGAAAGTCATGGGTGACTGTGATACGATGTCTGCAATATAGTTCTGCGAGGTTGTTAGTTTTTTACAAATAACCCTATTTAGTTTCTAATACTTTTTTTCTTAGTTATACGAAGCACTTACAATACCTATAAATCATTTCGTTCGAGTGATGTGATAGATGTTTTGCGTCTGCACTGAGCATGTTTGCTGGATGTTCTTTTTTTGTCCGACACGTGATGAATGGTACCGAAAAATTTAAAATAAATGTATATGTAAACACAAAAACGAAAGAGGAAAAAGTTTTCATTTCAGACAAGGTTTTATTTATACGTGAAACGTGATACAAATAAAAATAGTACTATATAGCGAAGTTCTACGAATATAAATTTATTTCGGAAATATTTAAAAATACGAGGTTGTCTTCGTTGTATAACGGAGTTTATTTTATATTTAAGTACATCGTCCGTTTTGCTCAGTTTAATTCCCATTACCGTTAAATGTAGCCGATACTTTTAAATCACGATGACTCAGATTTTGTCTGGTTAATGTGATCAAAGCGAGATGACGAGCTACGTGATTTTCGATCAACTTCCTTCCAAAATATTACAAACGCGTCCATTTTAATCCTCATTATCGTCAAACTATTATGCGTCCCACTACCCGGCACATGTCTCTTCTAAATGTCTCGTCTCACATGTCTCGTCTCTTTTTTAAATATTTTTAGTATTTTATTAGAACTGCCTCCGTTGACTGCCTCCGTGGCTGAACGGTTACCATGCCGGACTGCCACGCAGAGGTCCCAGGTTCGATTCCCGGGCCGGGAGAAATGTTTGTATGGCTTACATTTATTTCTCTCGTGAGTTTGGGTGTAATTTGTGTGGTTGTCTATGTGTGTGTCCATGGCACCCGCGACACCGGGTTTCCCTAGTGCGGGGCTATGTTGAGTGTGTGCGTTATTATTATTATTATTATTAACTGTGAAATTAATCTAGGTTTATTTTTATTGAGTCTACAATCTTTGACTTTGTTTATAGGTACACTGTTATTAACTTATTTATTGCTATATCATGGCTATGTCGTTATAAATTAATTTTTAAAATTGTAATTTTATTTTATTTCTACGTTTTGCCCAAATTTTGATGTAGGTTAAATGAAAGGTTAATCCATCTTTAACTTTACGTTTGTCTATTTATGTTTATTTTTACGTACCACATAATCTTGAGCTGAGATTTATAAAACGATATTTGACTTCGATTAAATAAAAATGGCGAGCTAAGCAAGTTTTATATACTTATGTACAAAACAAGCTTTGCTTAAGTTTAAGCAAGAAATAAACATAAATTTTAATCTCGCCAATTTTGCTTAGTCCAAATCAAACCAAATCAAAGTTCATTTTATAAATCTCAGATATATTTGTTAGATTTCTCATCATGACGCGCATAACATTAGCTCTTTTATTATATTAAGTTTATTTAATATTTCAATGTTTTACTATCCTTTTTTTATTAATTGCTCCACAAGTTTGTTAATAGTTATTATACAAAAATCGAAGACTAAAAAAAATTCGTTCCATTCGAACCAGTGATTTCAGTCACGATATCCCGAAGGCGCCGATTCGAATCCAGCCGGATCAAAAGAATTTTTCTTAGTGTTCGATCTTTGTATTAATAACAACGCAAAACACCACCTGCGCCCGTTCCGCGCCCGCGCGTGATGTGTTGTCGTCCATATAAATTCACGGAATTACATCCGCCATGCTCCCGACCCGACACGCGCCGCATCCGCACCCGCTGTGAGTGTTCACGCTTTAGGGTGACAAATAGAGGATGTCAAATCAGGTTTATTAAATTTTCACTCACTTCCCGTTATATGATTAAATGAAACTTGGCACATAAATGCAATTCCAATGAAAAATGAAATGGTAACCTAGAGATGATCTGATTATGGAAATGGGAGACAGATGAGAGGAACTCTTCAACAGTACAGCAGTTACCTAGTGTTTGGGCCCATATGATTCGTTTTGACGAGAACTTCGATATGCATTTCAGTTAAGCGTGAAACACACAGAGAGTGGATGCGGGTCAGGCGCGGGTCGAGTCGGGACAGCAGCGGGTCAAATTCCATGTATTTATATGGACGACAACACACCGAGCGCGGGTGTGGGACGAGCGCACGCGCGCACACCCGACCTGCGCCCGACCTGCACCCGCTCTCTGTGTGTTTCACACTTAAATGTTGAAGAGACCGCGGTAACGAACACAGCTAACGGAGATTAGCCAATTTATTGACCTCAGTTTTTTTGTATAAAAATTCACTCAAAAAGAATTCTTTAATATTGATATAGACAATGTAAGTTATTGTTGTTATGTTTTAACTACCTCCGCGGCCGAACGGTTACCATAC